GATCTTATTCCAACTTTAATGGGTCTTCACTCTCTATAATTCCCCTTCCTTTGTTTCTTTAATATCTCACTTAAATCTGTTCTACAACAAAACAACTCAAGAAGCAAGTTTATTGTCAGAGAGGAGGCAAAAAACGAGCTTCTTCTTTAGTTCTTGTTCTTCGTTTGCTTCCACTCTACTAATGGGTTCTTGCCTCAGTTCTCGTGTCAACAGTACGTTCTCTGCAACTACAAATCTAAAATCTCCCATTTTTATAAACTTTCCCGGGAAAATTTGAGATCTTGCATGTGTTTTCACTCTTTTATCGGTTTATTAATGATGGGTTTGTTGAAAAGGAATGAAATTTGCAAGAATCTACTCGTGATCTGAAAAAAAGTTTTCTCCTTTTTTTCATTTTGTCCTCAATTTTGACTTTTGGACAACGCTTTATGTGCAGATAAGAGTAGTGGTCTCGACGACCTTCATCTCTCGAGTTTTCAATCATCTTCATTAGCTGCTCATAAGACAGAAGGTGAGATACTTAGCTCGACGAGTGTTAAGAGCTTCACTTTCAACGAACTCAAACTCGCAACAAGAAACTTTAGATCGGACTCTGTTGTCGGAGAAGGAGGATTCGGTTGTGTCTATAGAGGTTGGATTGATAAAACCACTCTAACTCCGGCCAAATCGAGCACTGGTCTTGTAATCGCTGTCAAGCGGCTTAACCCTGATGGTTTTCAAGGTCATCGAGAATGGCTGGTACACAAACAAACATGTTCTTTATATTTTTCCAATCTTAAACTTTCAATGTTTGATTCTGATATTTTGTGTTATGTTGTGAATTCAGACAGAGATCAACTACTTGGGGCAGTTAAGTCACCCGAATTTAGTTCAACTGATTGGTTATTGCTTGGAAGATGAACAACGGCTCCTTGTGTATGAGTTTATGCACAAGGGTAGTCTTGAGGATCATCTGTTCAGAAGTGAGTTTCATAGATCAATGTTTTATGAAACTTTTTAGAGATTGGAGTGTTGTTTGTTCTTATGTTTGAATGGTTTTGAAGCAGCTGATATGGAGTGTAAGCCGCTCTCTTGGATTCTACGGATTAAGGTTGCGCTTGATGCGGCTAAAGGGCTTGCATTTCTTCATAGTGACCCTGTCAAAGTCATATACCGAGACATAAAGGCGTCAAACATCTTGCTCGACTCGGTATACGCTCTTTCGAAAATCTAATAAGTCTCATTGTTGTCTTAATCATTGACTTAAAAAGATACTGACTTGGTTCTATTGTGTGACAACAGGAGTTTAATGGGAAACTTTCAGACTTTGGGTTAGCGAGGGACGGTCCAATGGGAGAAACAAGCTATGTTAGTACAAGGGTCATGGGGACATTCGGGTACGCTGCTCCAGAGTATGTGTCAACAGGTAAATTCTATCAATTCTCTTATATTGCGTAGTGATAATACAATAGATTTTAATGTTGAGTTTCAAGAGTATATGGGTTAATAATCGGTTTGTCCTTCTCATCTTTCTATCTTTTTCAGGCCACTTGAATGCTAGAAGCGACGTATACAGTTTCGGGGTTGTTCTTCTAGAAATACTCTCTGGAAGGCGAGCATTGGATCATAACCGTCCTGCCAAGGAGCAAAACCTTGTGGACTGGGCTCGACCTTACCTCACAAGCAGGCGAAAGGTTCTACTAATCGTGGACACTCGGCTTAACTCACAGTACAAACCCGAAGAGGCAGTGAGAATGGCAAGCATTGCTGTGCAGTGCCTCTCATTCGAGCCCAAGTCGCGACCGACCATGGACCAAGTGGTCCGAGCCTTGATACAACTGCAGGAAAGCATGGTTAAACGGGTGAATGTTGAGCCGGTTAAGGATACCAAGAAACTTGTGGGATTGAAAACCGAAGACAAGTACCAGAAACTTATGGGTTTAAACAAGAAAACCGTTGGATTGTAGTAGGTAGAGAGAAAGATGTGGTTACTGGTTAGGTCTCATGTCTTCTTGTGTGTTGTGTAATATTGTGTGAAGTGATTTTATGACACTCGTTATAGTTTTTGCTCCTGATATACTGATTTGGAGACTTTTTCTTCTTTCTTTTGGGGTCTAGTTTGATAGATCGAATGTTTTGGTGGTACTATATGCCAATATGTGGTAGTGCTCAATACCACTTCCACTACTCTCTTTTTAACATTTTGGCTTTACTATATGTATGTAACTAATTTCTGTAAAATTGATTTGTTTATTGAATATGTATTTTATTCATCGTAGCCGTTGGTGAAACTATGATTTTAACCAAGTTTAGAGAACATAATATAGCAAACACCATAAATATCAAAATCCCCAAAGATTCCCTAAAAGGTATAAGAAAAAGTTCATTAAAAATTTTCAAATGTATTAAATTCAAAGAACAACACAAACAATGTCATTAAACAAATACAAAGATCTACTAATATTCTGGGAAATATTGCTTGCGCCTAATCGGAGCCTAAGCGGTCTAAACATTTTACAAAAATACATAATATACTAGATATATATAACAAAATATATAAAAAAACCAAAATTTATAACTAATAAAAT